TGCTGGAGGTTTCTTCCTGATTAGCAGGGAGTTTTTCCTCTCCACCGTTTGCTCAGGATGGGAGACTGTGATGAAGTGATTCAACACAGCCTGCTGGTTTCTTCTTTAGATTATTCTTTTTTTATGTACAGTGCCCTGAGACAATGTGTGWTGTGTCTTGGCGCTATATAAATAAACTGAAGTGAATTGAAATTGAATTGAATYCTGAATTGGATCAAATGATGCAGTTTGAAAGCATTTACTCCAGTAGATATCCAGCAATGTTAAATATAATTCTGAAATGTGGGTCCACACTAAATGTAAACAAAGTCCTCAACTGATTCTGCTAAAAACAACATGATTAATCTTTATTAATTTCTTTAAGTAAACATATATTTACAGAAAAATAAAAAATCAATACAACAAAATTTATGTATAGAGCTCTTCACAACAGGATGAATTTTTATTTTTTATCTTTAATTATGGTATTCTTGCATCTTGAATTAGTTTTGTCTCTGATGGTTATTTGTGCTCCGCAGTACGTCAAAGAAGTCTGCCAGTTCGACCTGACATGTCCCATCAGAGGAGTGGGTCCTGGAGTCATTCGTAAGCTGCTTCTGGAGGACAGCCTGAAAGTTCGGGGCAGAAAGGACAGCAAAGTGAGCAGACCTCTGCCCTGTTTTTATAAACACATGCTCTCTGTTCAGTTTGGTCTTTTTATCTCATCTCCTTGTTGTGACACAGCTGGAACTGGTGGCTCTGCTCTTCTCAGACGTTCTCCTTCTGACCAAAGTTCAGAAGAAAGGGGACCATCTGAAGGTGGTCCGTCCTCCTCTGGCTGTTGACAGAATGTACTGCTACATGCTGAAAGATGAATGTGAGTAATTCTCTCCCACTGACAGGACTACTTGGATGAACTGATTCTTTAATATGTTTTTTTTTTCTTTCTTTCTTTCAGGTTCATTTGTTCTGGTGGAAGTCGGTGAGCTCCAGTCCGCCATGAATGTCCTCATACTTGTGACGAGCACCTCTGACAGGTGCTCCACCTGGGTCTCTGCCATCCACCAGGCAAAGGTAACGTCTGAGACATCTTTACCTATATCAGAAAAAAAACTGTTTTGGTTTGCTTTAGCCGTTAGGTATTTAAGAATGACAAACATTTAATGATCTCAACAAGCCTTCGATCGATTGTCTTTAATAAATATAAAAACTGTTTGCTGATAACTTGTGCAAACTTGTCCAAATGATTTAGGAGGAAGTATTTACTGAAGGAGGACAGGAAGTTCCTAACAGTTTAAAACCACTCCCAATTCTCAGAACAATCCTAACCAGGTTTAAATATTTACCGGATATTTGGTTAATTAATGTCACCTTGACTTCTTACAATCTTTAATATATTGTTTTTCAGTAAAAATATATTTACACCACAGAAAATGACAAATGCTTGAGCTATTTTAAAAGTGAAAGATTCAGAAATTATGGATAAATCGTTAAGCAAATTAGCCTTTTCAGGATTAATTTATTTATTTGTTTGAATCCTTATTGCCTGCGACCTTGCATGTTGAAGTTTTAAAGGAAAATTTCACATTATTCACAATATAATACAATACAATATATACTTTTAATATGGTTGATTAGTTGTGATGACCATCTTTTTTAATGAATGTGTTTATTTCATTTACAAACAAAACACAAATTCACATACAATGCAAATCAAATAAAATGAAAGGTAGAAGAAAAATAATCGTAAATCTGACCCTATTTTCAAAAAAATAATTTCAAACAATAATAACCTTTGTAGATTAACTACAAAAATGTATAAGTTGTAAAAGTTTCAGATAAAAAATATTTTGCTAACAGACAGACACAGTTGACTTTAACATCCAATGCCAAATATTTTTATACAATGTGTAACGCTCAGAGTATGTGTTCTTTTTAATTATTATTGAGGAATTTATTGCCATTTCTGTGATTTGTATGATTGGTTCACTGTGGYGGCCATCTTGACTCAGACAGAGTTCAAAAGTTAACCTGTTGTTGCACAAATCTGTACAATGGAACATAGGATGTTTTGGAAACAAACTGAAAAAATTGCCTTTTTAACCTTAAATATTTGTATTTAAAGTTTCATCATTAAAATTATTGTCTCTCCCCCCTCTGTGCATCACCTGCTTTTTGTTTGTCATCATGCTTGAGAAGATTCAAAGTCAGGATTTACAATCAGCTTTAATAAAATTGAATATTTTGCCTTTAAATACATAAACCTTCTTCTGCTCTTGTTTCTGCTCTAATGACCTGAACACAAGTGCAGCCAATTCTTATTCAAGTTATTTTATTTACTTAGAAAATGTAAAAATTCAATTTTTTTGTTTTTTGTAAAACAGAATTTGTTGTTTTTTTTTTATCTTGAATGCTTTTCCTGGTTATTGTTACTTTATTGTCAGGGAACTCTGACACACCTGAGGAAGCAAAAGGCCAACAGAGGGGACAGTTTGAGAGAGCTTCAACAAAAACCCAAACCAGCTGAAGACACCAAGATAGATGACATGAAAATGGAAGAAAAGCCTCCAAAAGTTCAAAACAAAAAGAGTCTAATGGAAGAACTTACAGATGTTTTGAATAAATCTCCCACAATGAATGGATTTCTAGAAGCGGAGCAGAATCAGTCTCCCATCGAGGCGTCCATGAACGCTGGAGTGACTTTAAAGAGGAGCAACAATGTCAAGAAATCAAGTYATGTCAAGACTCTCAAGGGTCAGAGACAAATGTTCAAAGGATCTGAATGGATAGAAATGGAAAGAAAAGATCCAGGTGTAAACCCCTCTGAGGAGGAAGAGGAAGTTGTTGAGACTTCCATAGTCATGAAGTCTTACCCTGTTTCAAAATTGAACAACTTCCCTCAAAATAAACCTGCAGAACTCTCAGGAACCAACACAACCAGACGACCCAAATTCCTCCCACATAAACTGCCAGATGTTGACTACCCAACAGGTGAAGAGAGCACTTTATCGCTTCCTCGGAAGCAAATCTCAAGCGAGACCTTTTCAAAAACACAGGTGGGAAGCAGATCGTTGATAAGAAGCAGTTCAGATCTGCAGCTTGTGACTCAGGACAGCCGGAAAAACTTTTCCAGTCAGTCTGCAGTTGGAGAAGCATCTCTAGACGTCTGCAGCTTCCCATCAAATCTGAAGTCTCCTGGGTTACGGAAGAGGCGGCCCGGCAGCACAAACCCAAGCCCCTTGACTCCAATGATGAAGCCGTTCCTGCACGACACGGGACGACCCGCWTCTGCTTCAAACAGCTCCAATTCKGACTCAGACAGCAGCACGAACACCAAGAGAAACTCTCTTCCTGCTGTCTCTAGCTCAGATTCGCAGCAGGCGCCCAAAGTGGGCCCAAAGCCGAACTTCAACACATTCCTGAACAAGTACCACAGAATCTCCACAGACATCCAAAACTTCTCTGAGTCTGAGCAGCCAGATATGAGCCCACAGAGCATAAAGCCCAAAATTAAGAACACGAGGAGTTCCTCTAGTCCCAACATGATTAATGAAGCAAGGCAGCCAGTTCGTGGACCCTCCAACATCTCATCAGCCCAAGGACAGGACCTCTACGGCTCAGGGTTTACTCTAAACACCTCTCCTGTGGAAGGCCTTTTGGAAAGAGCCAAGGAAATGGGGAAAGACAAATCTGGACTAAAGAGAGACAAATATGTCCAATCCCCCCCTCTGAGGACAAATCACCAGACTCATTTCCCGCAGGATAATCCTGCACCTTCACCCACACCCAGTGAAGTGGGCAGAGACGCCGAGGAGGGGGAGGTGGAGCTGATCAGACCCCGAACCTCCACAGTAAGCATGAGGTGGAAGGAGCAGCTGGTGGACGGGGATGAAGACGACAAGAGCGGCAGGTCAGTACGGAAAAAAACATTCAATTTTATTCATTTCTTGTTCATTACCATTTATATATGGTTTTCCTTTGTATAATAAAGTTGTTTTAAAGTGCAAAATTCACTTTGTTAGCCATTAAATGCAGATATAAATCACAGAAGATTTAGACACTTCACTGAGTTATAGTTAACACACATTTTTTAGCAAAAGGTTACCTTGTGGCTACCTACCCCTTCGGAGGTCCTAGGCAAATAATCCTAACATCTTGTGCATTCCAAATCAACATGTAAAGTAATTAGAACACCATAAATTACAGGTCCTTCTAAAAAAATTGCATATTGTGATAAAGTTCATTATTTTCTGTAATGTACCGATAAACATTAAACTTTCATATATTTTAGATTCATTGCACACCAACTGAAGTAGTTCAAGCCTTTTCTTGTTTTAATATTGATGATTTTGGCAAAAACATAAAGAAAAATCAAAATCCCTGTCTCAAAAAATTAGCATATTTCATCCGACCAATAAAAGAAAAGTGTTTTTAATACAAAAAAGGTCAACYTTCAGATAATTATGTTCAGTTATGCACTCAATACTTGGTCGGGAATCATTTTGCAGAAATGACTGCTTCAATGCGGCGTGGCATGGAGGCAATCAGCCTGTGGCACTGCTGAGGTGTTATGGACGTCCAGGATGCTTCGATAGCTGCCTTAAGCTCATCCAGAGTGTTGGGCCTTGTGTCTTAAGCTCATCCAGAGTATTGGGTCTTGTGTCTTAAGCTCATCCAGAGTATTGGGTCTTGTGTCTTAAGCTCATCCAGAGTGTTGGGTCTTGTGTCTTAAGCTCATCCAGAGT